GAGTGAGTGAGTGAGTGAGTGAGAGAGTGAGTGAGTGTGTGTGAGAGAGAGGTGATATGGTTGCTGGAGAAAGACCTGAGTACTCGTGTCTATGGGAGACTGAAAATTGCATTATTTGCATTTTTTCTAAGGTTTTGGTTTGGCAAGTACATTTGGAGAGGATGACTTTCAAGATCTTAAAGGTTTAAGTTTTGCAATGTTGTATAACTTCTAAAGCAAAACTCTCTCTTAATTGGAGCCCAGCCCTGTATTTTTCCTCTGAATACCTGATGAAAGTCACCAAACCCCAACACAAAGTTGGTTGCATTGTTCTAATGCCATGTACATCAGAGTACATCATTTTGTTTCATTGTGACATTTTTAAACCTTTAATAAACATTTAAAAAAAAAAAACATAGTCCTTGTTTATTTGTGACTGCAGGAGAGAGACTTTATTACTAACTTACTAACCACAAACAACCTGGATTTTATGTTTCTAAACGAAACATCCGCAGTTGGAATCAGCTTCCAGAAGAGATCAGATGTGCTAAAACATTAGTCACATTTAAATGCAGACTCAAAACTCATCTGTTTAGCTCTGCATTTATTGAATGAGCACTGTGCGATGTCCGAACTGATTCGCCTCTGGCTTGCTTAGTTGGGGACACTTCATTTCCAGCGATACTGTTGACTTGATTGCAAAGATACTATTTAAACTGAGCTGGATGTTGACATCACTGAATTCAATGATGAACTGTCTTTAACTGAAAAATTTGTGTTTACTATTGTCATTTTGCATTATTGACACTATTTTCCTAATTAATGCTGTTCAGTTGCTTTGACACAATCTGTATTGTTAAAAGCGCTATATAAATAAAGGTGACTTGACTTGACTTGACTTGATTGCACTATGTTTTATGTATAATAGTTTTCTTAAATTCATTTTAAACCTCTTAAATCAATTTTTTAAATCATTTTCAAAGTTTTTAAATTCCTTGTTTTATTGTTGTGATTATTTTTTTTCTTTTCTTTTATGTAAAGCACTTTGAATTACCTTGAATTATGAAATGTGCTATATAAATAAACTTGCCTTGCCTTGCCTTTATGACATAGCGATCTGGGAAGTGATTGTACTACATTTTGAATAGGTATATATTCAATACACATTAAGCTTTGACACTGAGCCAACCTGCTATAACAGAATCAGACTGAGGGACGTGCTTAATCTGTAAGTGAAACCCTGACCTTAACTTGTCACAGAAAATGACTTCACAAATAATGTAATTTGCTTTTTAAAGGATATTCTCAGTGTTTTCTCTCAGTGCTTAGAGTAGGCCTAATCAAATGTTATAGCCTACCATGTACCAGCCACAGTAAAATCCAGCTACAAATAGTTGCATGTTTCAAGTGCATTAAATCGGTACATGTCTCCTGGTAGTAGTGAAATTAAAGGTTTAAAAAGTAAATAAAAAGTTATGTCAGTAGCATCAAATGCACACAACTGGGTGAACTCCTGGTAAGTAACTATTTGTATTTTAGATTTTAAAGTATGTAGACAGTGCAACTGATGAAATACTGCTATTTGCAGCCAGTGGTCAGGCGCGTTCATTGTAAAGCTGCTGTGAGGAGTGAGGGAGGTTCACGTTAATCAGCCTGATGCAGGTTTGGGGGTTTGTTTTAGTTACTATAGCAACCGTTTGTCTTCTGGTTACTGATAAAATACCGCCTACGGTTTCATCACTGTTAAAACTAGCAATAAACCGTATCTACGCATTAAAACAAACTTCACACCCTCTGTACACGCGACACGACAAAACTATAATAAATCACCGAAGAGTACAATATACACTGGGCAGCTGCGTAGACGGGGAGCGTTGTAGTTAGTTTTATCGCGTCGCTCAGTGTCTACAGTGTCTACAGGGCACTGGAGGTCACTTCCTGATTTACTGACTGTCGGCAATACGTCCTAACACTTTCAAAACGCTCTGCCTCGATTTAAATGACAACGGTTTGCGTGCCTGAAAAGCGACGTTACCTACACAGGTGGAAGTAGCCATAGTTTTTGACTTTATTTGATGCAGACCAGCACTTCATTCAGTCGTAGCGCAGGTGGATTCATCGACTCGTATGTTTTCCTGGCACATTTATATCGGTGAGGATGTTTTAAAATGGCGGTGGCAGCGTCACAACAGGTAAGATACTTTTCATTAGCTTTTTTATCTCGCTGTTAGCGTTACTCGTGCGCAAATAGAGTTCGAGCCTTTTGCAGTCAGACACTTGCCGTAATGTAGAAGTTTAATGTCTCCTGAACCTAGCGAAGTGCACAAGCAAGGCGAAAAGTTTTGAGTGAAGTTTAGCGTTTAGGTGATAAATGAAATGCAGAAGTACTTGTAAAAGCGGACAGTGTTATATTATAAGAGTAATAATAATAGTGTTTGATGTGTTGTTTATTGGAGGGTCTGGAGTAAAGGTGAGGAGGTGATGGACACACACACATCCTTCCACCTGCAGCAGGAACATGGCAGAAGCAGAGCACACGTCCTGTGAAAGCAACACAAACGGTCAACGCATTGATGGTAAGTTCAAAGTAACTTTGTAGCCATAACAGCTACATCCTCCAAGTTGTTTGTTTAGGGCCCTGGATGTCAAAATGATTGCACATTAGCATCACTGGTTCTTGAGACATGGGGGAAACTATGCTTGAGTGTAATCCGATAAAGCTTCAGAAATGTATTGACAAATAGAAAAGTCTAGCATGCACTTCAATGATTGAAATGAGACTACAGGACAGTTAAAAAAACTTGTATAATTATTGTAAAAAAATAAAAATAAAATCTTGCAATATTGATAAATTAAACATATGTTGAACATCAGTGATTACAAGTGTATTAAATGCAGTGGGCATTTTGTGTTTATACAGTTGCTAGTTATGAATAGTAAAGTGCAACAGTGCTCGCCCACTTTTTCAGCATAGTTCCAGAAGTAATTTTCTCCTAGGGATTTTCCTGATTTACTGACTATGAACCAAACAAAAGGTATGAACCAAACCAACCAGCTGGTGAATCGCAACAATACACATTTTGATTTGAAGCAAAAAAGTATTTGAAAAACAGACCAAGAGACAAAATGCACAAGACTGTATGTGTGAGTGCATGCGCATATATATATATATATGTGTATATATATGTATATATATATATATATATGTATATATATATATATATATGTATATATATATATATATATGTATATATATATATATATATGTATATATATATATATATATGTATATATATATATATATATGTATATATATATATATATATGTATATATATATATATATATGTATATATATATATATATATGTATATATATATATATATATGTATATATATATATATATATGTATATATATATATATATATGTATATATATATATATATATGTATATATATATATATATATGTATATATATATATATATATGTATATATATATATATATATGTATATATATATATATATATGTATATATATATATATATATGTATATATATATATATATATGTATATATATATATATATATGTATATATATATATATATATGTATATATATATATATATATGTATATATATATATATATATGTATATATATATATATATATGTATATATATATATATATATGTATATATATATATATATATGTATATATATATATATATATGTATATATATATATATATATGTATATATATATATATATATGTATATATATATATATATATGTATATATATATATATATATGTATATATATATATATATATGTATATATATATATATATATGTATATATATATATATATATGTATATATATATATATATATGTATATATATATATATATATGTATATATATATATATATATGTATATATATATATATATATGTATATATATATATATATATGTATATATATATATATATATGTATATATATATATATATATGTATATATATATATATATATGTATATATATATATATATATGTATATATATATATATATATGTATATATATATATATATATGTATATATATATATATATATGTATATATATATATATATATGTATATATATATATATATATGTATATATATATATATATATGTATATATATATATATATATGTATATATATATATATATATGTATATATATATATATATATGTATATATATATATATATATGTATATATATATATATATATGTATATATATATATATATATGTATATATATATATATATATGTATATATATATATATATATGTATATATATATATATATATGTATATATATATATATATATGTATATATATATATATATATGTATATATATATATATATATGTATATATATATATATATATGTATATATATATATATATATGTATATATATATATATATATGTATATATATATATATATATGTATATATATATATATATATGTATATATATATATATATATGTATATATATATATATATATGTATATATATATATATATATGTATATATATATATATATATGTATATATATATATATATATGTATATATATATATATATATGTATATATATATATATATATGTATATATATATATATATATGTATATATATATATATATATGTATATATATATATATATATGTATATATATATATATATATGTATATATATATATATATATGTATATATATATATATATATGTATATATATATATATATATGTATATATATATATATATATGTATATATATATATATATATGTATATATATATATATATATGTATATATATATATATATATGTATATATATATATATATATGTATATATATATATATATATGTATATATATATATATATATGTATATATATATATATATATGTATATATATATATATATATGTATATATATATATATATATGTATATATATATATATATATGTATATATATATATATATATGTATATATATATATATATATGTATATATATATATATATATGTATATATATATATATATATGTATATATATATATATATATGTATATATATATATATATATGTATATATATATATATATATGTATATATATATATATATATGTATATATATATATATATATGTATATATATATATATATATGTATATATATATATATATATGTATATATATATATATATATGTATATATATATATATATATGTATATATATATATATATATGTATATATATATATATATATGTATATATATATATATATATGTATATATATATATATATATGTATATATATATATATATATGTATATATATATATATATATGTATATATATATATATATATGTATATATATATATATATATGTATATATATATATATATATGTATATATATATATATATATGTATATATATATATATATATGTATATATATATATATATATGTATATATATATATATATATGTATATATATATATATATATGTATATATATATATATATATGTATATATATATATATATATGTATATATATATATATATATGTATATATATATATATATATGTATATATATATATATATATGTATATATATATATATATATGTATATATATATATATATATGTATATATATATATATATATGTATATATATATATATATATGTATATATATATATATATATGTATATATATATATATATATGTATATATATATATATATATGTATATATATATATATATATGTATATATATATATATATATGTATATATATATATATATATGTATATATATATATATATATGTATATATATATATATATATGTATATATATATATATATATGTATATATATATATATATATGTATATATATATATATATATGTATATATATATATATATATGTATATATATATATATATATGTATATATATATATATATATGTATATATATATATATATATGTATATATATATATATATATGTATATATATATATATATATGTATATATATATATATATATGTATATATATATATATATATGTATATATATATATATATATGTATATATATATATATATATGTATATATATATATATATATGTATATATATATATATATATGTATATATATATATATATATGTATATATATATATATATATGTATATATATATATATATATGTATATATATATATATATATGTATATATATATATATATATGTATATATATATATATATATGTATATATATATATATATATGTATATATATATATATATATGTATATATATATATATATATGTATATATATATATATATATGTATATATATATATATATATGTATATATATATATATATATGTATATATATATATATATATGTATATATATATATATATATGTATATATATATATATATATGTATATATATATATATATATGTATATATATATATATATATGTATATATATATATATATATGTATATATATATATATATATGTATATATATATATATATATGTATATATATATATATATATGTATATATATATATATATATGTATATATATATATATATATGTATATATATATATATATATGTATATATATATATATATATGTATATATATATATATATATGTATATATATATATATATATGTATATATATATATATATATGTATATATATATATATATATGTATATATATATATATATATGTGTATATATATGTATATATGTATATGTGTATATATGTATATGTGTATATATATGTGTATGTGTATATATATGTGTATGTGTATATATATGTGTATGTATATATATATGTGT